CTTGCCAACATCCTTTCGGTTGATTATTCCGTCGCACAGAGTCTTTCTAGTGTGATTTACCTCTCCTGTGTGATTTGTAGACTATTACACATGAGTGAGATTTATTCCATGCACACTTTTGATAATGACTACGTGGTTCCCTGGCCTCGTCACCAGAAAGAAAACACCAAGACCAAAGTTGGGTGGAAAATTTCATGTGCGTTGTCATCTTGTCTTTGCAAAAAGTTTGCAAATAAAGGCATATATATATATATATATATATATATATATATATATATATATATATATATATACACACACACACAATAACAATATTAGTAAAAACACACACAAAAATTTTCACAAGTAATACTTATAGAACTCACAAAGTGCATATTAACACTAGATGAAAAACATAAAAAGTTGCCACACCGGCCTACCCATGTATGCAATTGCATACATTAATAGCTTCCTAAAGATGAATTTGAATAAACTTTTACCTTGAATATGATTTATATACTATATTATTACCTAAACTCATTAAATTATTGTGTATACGATACGATACTTATCTAGATTATACGAATTTTCTTTAATAAAAGATCGAATAAGTGGCACGTGAAGAGATGATCGAATATATTAACTTTATAAGATTCGTTAATCAAGATGTTTAATATTTATAACAAGAGTATATATACTAAAAGCCATAACAACAATCAATAATAAAGCGTGAATTGAACCAACGGTCCAAAAACGCTTAATGTACAAACGTAAAAGATTCTTGTCCAGACTATATATATATATATAATAAGAGTGTGTCTAGAGAGGCATGGAGCAGCAAAGCTAGCTCGAGAAATGGGTTTTAACCTAACCTCTGTAATCTATATAGAGGGATAAGGAGATAGGAAGTAGATGAGATCTAGATAGAGAGTAACAAGAAAACCAAAATGTTTCTTTATCTGCATTTGCACCTGCACCTACATACACTACTGCGGGCGCAACTCTTTCATTCATATATATATTGTGTGTAATGGAGGAGGAGAAGATGAAGATAGGTGCGGGAGCAAATGCAGATGAATATCACTTTGGATAAAGTTCAGACTTCCATTTTAAATCACTGTTCATCTTCCTCAAAACTCACCAGACAACACATCCGGTACGTACAAGGATGTCTGCAGTTTTGTCTTCATTTATCTTTGTTATATGTGTTAGTAATTATTGTTTGATAAAATTAATGATGTTTTTTTTTCCTATAAATTATACATAGCTACCTGCATAAGCCTGCCTGCAGGTTAATTTTCAGGATTTATTTCCCATTCAGTCAATAAGTTACACCGATTCATGAACTCTACTATAATATTTAAATTTAATTACGTTGTTTGATTTATTATTTTTTGTGTATTTGAAACGATATTCAAATTATGAAAGAATGAAAAAAAAAATATCATTCTATTATGAAATTCTACTTTTATTTCTTAGAATGGAAAATGAAGAATTTGGAATATATATACACTACTGGAAATTTTCGAATTTCCGACCACCTGAAAATGATCTTAAATCAAGTCAAAAGTTTTGTTCTGACCACTTTTGGTATCCGGAAAAACCTTTGTTGCTGTTTCCGACCACTTTTTGCTTTCAACTTGATATAAGATCACTTTCAGGTGGTCGGAAATTTCATAATTTTCAGCAGTGATATATATATATATATATATATATATATATATATATATATATATTACTCTCATTTTCAAGTCTGATCTCACACATACATATTTATCCTTCGATTCCGTTCACCACCAAATAAAGAATCTACTTTTGCTAAAATTCATTTCAATTACTGAATATATATTTGATTTCAATTTTGATACTCCAATCAAATGCTTCCTTAGTTCATGAATAGCAGTTTAATCTCAAAATATATAACTCCACATAATTGTGAGTATAAATTTTCTACAAACCTTAAAAGATTATATCTGGAACTATAACTCCACATAATTGTGAGTATAAATTTTCTACAAACCTTAAAAGATTATATCTGGAACTTAGTCATTTTCTGGGCAATCCTTTTGATTCTTGGCAATGACTTTATAACCTAAGAAACATGAATAGTGGCAGAATCAGGATTTGAAGATCGAAAGGAAGATGAGATTCCATTAAGATCAGGTCAATGGTACGTTAACGTTTTTATATTTTATAATAATTGAGTCACATCAATTTCTATCAACTCTATATATAAATCTTAAAAAAATTTCAATCTAACATATTTTTTTTTTTACTTAAATAGTTAAATTCGATAAGAAAATATATATTGTACTGAAAAATGAAAGTTTATTATATAATATTACTTTATACTACAAATTTATACATAAGTTTGTTTATTCTATTTATTAAAAGAACCATAATTGAGTAAATAGTAGTTTTTTTTTTTTTTAATACTATTGATTCAAAGGGTTTAAACTTGTGATCTCCAATTTGGGAGAGTTACAATTATGCCGCTTGACCACAAGATCTTTTGCAGTGGCAGTGGCAGTGGCTTGTGGGTTTTGTTTGTTTGTTTTTTTTTTTTTTTTTTTTTTTTTTTTTTTTTTTTGGGTGGGGGGTGGTGGGGGTGGGGGTGGGGGAGGGGGAGGGGGAAGTTTTTGAAAGCTACACATAATTAGAGAGACATTTAACATTTCTTAACACTAAATTTTTATTATAATATTTAAACACAAACAGAAGTTATTTATTGTAGATTTAGAATACACACAACCTGGTGGTGTGATTAAGTAGAATAGACGCCATCCATTATTTACAAAATGTTCAAATGTTAATGGATTGATCATTGATCTGGGTTACAAAAAAAAAAAAAAAAAAATGAATACACACATAAAAAAAAAATGCTATTTGCACGATTTTTTAGTTTTTACTTTTTAATGGTCTAATTGAATACTTTTTTATTCGATGGTTCAATTGTACAAAGTATAAAAGTTCAGTGACCTATTTCATACTTTTTTTCATAAAATTTTAATATTAGAGTTCGAATGAATACTTAAATACAGGGAGACATTGAGATTCTCAAAAAAAAAAAAAAAAAAAAAAACGCACACACAAACCATCTGCTGAGAATTAATTCTACATTTAATCATACAATTATAGTGATATTTTTACATTTTAACATCAATTTTAATTTGAAAAAATTTAAATAAAAATTTAATTGAATATGACAAAGTGAAATTAATTTTGGGGAAAAAAAAAAAAAACCCAAATACAAGGCATGTATTTGTATTTTGTTTACAGAGGAATTAACCTGCAAGATAAAAGTCTATTAATATTTTTGGCCAAATAAATATTAAGCCGCCGTCTAACATCGTCGGATCCGTGGCGCAATGGTAGCGCGTCTGACTCCAGATCAGAAGGTTGCGTGTTCGATTCACGTCGGGTTCAAATTCCCCACACAGCACGGATTATTTTTGTTCTGTATTTTTAAAGATAATGATTACTTTTGTTCTCGATTTTTTAGATAAGTTGTTTAGTGACTTCACGGATTACGTAAATTGTCTGATGTTGAATGTGTATTTATCAAAGTATCGTATTTTGGCGTATATCAACGTAAGATTATCAAATTTGTCATAAAAGTAAATATTTTAATAATGTATAACTAAGACCTATAGTATAAATGTTAGATTAATAGGTGTAATAGCAATTTTAGAGGGAATCACCCTCAATGGATAGTACCCTAAACATAATTTCTGCAACACAAAATCCTATTATTTGGCGTGATCCATGTTTCCTCTTGCTGCTACTTTTGCTAAAAATAAATTCATATTTTGATCTAATCCCCTTTTGTGCTTCAATGCAATTTTAGTGTCTTGGCGTAGTGCATATTAAAAAACAGAACTAAATCCTAATTTTCCAAAAAGACAATGATAATATGCATAGTTTTTCCTATGTTGTATATATACTGTAAATTAAGTGTATTGTTCCATCGATGCCCAATGCGTAATTCTAATTAATTGATCAAAGTTCATGTTAAATTTTATATTGTATTTTTTTTAATACACTCTAACATATTCATAGTATATGCTTAACAATTATGTCAATTTTGAATTTTGGATTGAGATATGGTTCGAACCTAAGACATTCCTTATGAAAATCGATGAGTAAGATAAAAATAATAAATAGTTAACAAAATATTTCGTTACTAAAGTTTATATTGACAGAATACAAGGATATTTAAGAAAAGTAAATTATATAATAGAAGGTATAATATGAATAATAATAATAATAATAATAATAATAATAATAATAATAATAATACTAAAATCAAAATAATTTGAACCATTTATTTCAACAAACAATTGCACCAACATTTTTTAATTTCGGTTAAAGACCTAACTTTATTGGCTTTTATTAGGTTGGTAGACGTAGATAATGATTAGCCCAATGTAAATCGTCATAACAATTGCCTAACTGGCCCGCCCCGCTCCAGGCGACAAATTATACCGTGCACCAGGGTGCACAATGCATTGTGCGCACTGGCCCGAAACGACGTCGTTTTGTACCTTTTCGCGTGTCTGCTATTAACTCCTTAAAAAAAATCATGTTTCGAATGTACAGAATTGTATAATAGAATACACATAATTTATATATGAACACACATAATCTTTTTTGAAAGGATAATACACATAATCTAACATAATACATAATATACATAAACTCTTAACATAATACACATAAACTCTTAACTCTTTAAAAAAAAATCATATTTCGAATGTACAAAATTATATAATAGAATGCACAAAATTTTATATCTAAAATTAACAACACGACATCGTTTTGGAAAGCGCAAAACGCACATTACTATGTGCGCCTTGGTGCACGGTATAACGATTGGCTCCGGGCAAGAAACAACAAACAATGGAAAAGATACAGATTTGCTCTAATGCTCCATCGTATTTTATTCTATTCTATCACTAATCACTAAAATACTATAAAGTTTAAACATGTTTAATACGGAGTAGCATAAATTGAAAGATTTGCCGAACTATTTTGAATTTGCAGATAATCCGGAGACAACCCGAAAAATCACGAGGTGAGAGCTCTCTCCCCTTCGTTTATGAACCCAAAAAATGGCTACTTCACTCACCAAAATCGCCTCTCTCCTTCGTTCAACCACTCTCACTCACAGATTCCCTTCTCTCTCTTCACTCCCATCCCGAATCCCTCTTCTTCTTGCCCCCAAACCCGAGGTCCCTTAAATCCACTCTACTTTGTTTCTTCACTTGTTTCTTCTGTCAATTTATCATGCCCATTTTTTGTTTGTATCTATTTTGCAGGTTCAGAGTCGTCCTAGGTTCGTATCCATATCGATGGCTTCAGGGTCGAAAGAATCGCCTTCCAATAACCCAGGTCTTCATGTTAACCCTGATGATGCTACAAAAGGTTACTTCTTGCAGCAAACTGTAAGCCCTGTCCTTCAATGTTGTCCCCAGTATATCATTATATGTGCGATATATTATGCTTTTAAGCTATTTGTGTTGGTTTTTTTATTTGTTTTTGTTATGACAGGAATGCATAATAGTTTTTTATTTTATTATTTTTATTTTTTAGTTTTGGAAGTACTGGACATTCACTTTGTTAATTCACTTTTCTAGTAGTTTAAGAATCCTAGATATAGAAGGGTTCCAATAGTGTAATCTTCATGCAATCCAATAGAGTGTTCATTGTTCAATCCAATATCAATATACAGTTCATAGAATTCTGTGATATTGGAATGCCTATAATATTTTTCTAGTATTCTTGGGTTATTCTCTATTTTTGCTCTGGCCTTGCTTGTGGGTGGTGGCCCTTTGTTACCTGCCCCATCCCATAATTTCACTTAGTGTCTAACATATTTCTTTGATTTTTTTTTTTGTGAGCTCAGATGTTTAGGATTAAGGACCCAAAAGTCAGTCTTCAGTTCTACTCCAAAGTGTTGGGCATGTCGTAAGTCTTCTTGCCTTTTCCTAGGATTTTCTGTTCTCCCGTCTGTTCAGGATTATGTGCATTTGTGATATTGTTAGAATTATTCATGCAGATTTCGTTTTGTGTTATAATGGTAAATTTGCTGAATTGGAGTCCAAAATTTTAATCTTTGTTGGTTATGCTAATGTGTTTGTTGTGGAATTGGCCTTTCTCAATGCAATAACATCATGCCTGTTTATTACTTGGGAGTTTGGGCTGTTGATTGCTGTTGTGTGGTGGCATTATTCGTGACTTAGAAATGAAGGATTCTCTGGCAAGAACCTTGTTCATGTTGCAGTTTTTAAACATGTGCAATGTTACTTCAACTGTGTACAGGAATACAAAGTAATTTTTTTCTATTTATAATAATGTCTTTTGAGACAGGAGTGCAGTCTTGTGATTCCCAATAAGAATTTATATTAGTATGTGTGTATGAGTCATCATGCAGTGATCATCTGTGTGTATTTGGTTGTAATCTTTAAAGTTATGTTTGCAAAATTATTCAAACGGAAAAAAGTAAGAAAAGAAAAATGTGATGGGGAATTTTACATACTGTATTATTTTATTTTATTTTACAATTGTAGATTGTTGAAGAGATTGGATTTTCCGGAGATGAAATTTAGCTTGTACTTCTTGGGATATGAGGTAAGGAACTGAACTCATTTTGGAAGCATATTTCACAGTTCTCTTTACAAACTTAAGCAAATTTCTGTAATTTGTATGGTTAGAACACATCATCAGCTCCCAGTGATCCTGCTGAACGTGTTGCTTGGACTTTTGGTCAAAAAGCTACTTTAGAGCTTACACAGTAGGCCCCATCTTTATTAAATAGCACATTTTGAATTTACCCAACTCTGTTAGCAGAAGTCTATATTTGCTAACTGTCAAATTCTTTTTGTAGTAATTGGGGTACTGAGAGTGACCCAGATTTCAAAGGTTACCACAATGGCAATACAGAACCTCGTGGCTTTGGTAAGCAGACGACTTGTCATTTCATGCTAATTTCTTTATTTTAAGTTCAATATACATATTTGTGTATTTTCACTTCAATTTCTTTAATTTTATTTTTGTTTTTTGTTCTTTTGTTTTTTGTTTTGCTTCTCATAAGTTTTTTAAAGGCTTTCTTAGCTTAGCCTCTGGTTTCTTGAATATGTTATAGACATGCGTAATTGCAGCTCACTTCTAATTGTATGTTTTGAATCTTTCAGATCTCCTATCTGTTAATTTGTCACCTAATTTCTTCTGTATCAGATTAGTTCATCTAGTTTAAAATTTAATCATTCTTGGATAGTAAAACCTTTTATGAAGCAGTTAATAGGATTATGCCTATATTTTTATTTCTGTGTGAAATAATATCCTCTAGACATACAGGATAGACCTTTTTTTTTTTTCTTCGTACTGGAATGCCATTAGGCTTATTTAGCTCCACTGTGTTGAATATACCTTATGTTGCAAATATATGCAAAAGGATGCATTAAATGTGAGCTATGGCATCATAATTTTGATAAGGTTTCCACAAAACTTCTGGAAAATATGTAACGCTAAATGTTTATTTGAGGTTGGAAAGGTGCAAAAGTAGATTCTTTACGAGGCTACCTAATAAATTGTTAGATGAATGTTTTCATAAAAAAACTGGATACTATATTTCCTTGGATGATTTTATATATGTGGCTGAAATTAAAGGGTCTAATCACTAATGCTTTCTGCTGACCTATTGCAGGTGTATTTAGTACTATTTCTTTAGTCCACTTTCTTTTTGCAGATTCAACATGCTAGAAATTACATTGTTCATGAATGATTCTCAAACACTAAACTTGAAAACAGTGCTATTCGTTTAATTTAGGTTCCTTCATGTTTCTAGGAATTAGTGCATATATATGAGTCAATCTCTTTGAATATGTAAGATCTTATTTATTATTTTAGTAAAATTCAGTATTTACTATGAAGTATTGCAGTTGAAATTTTGATTTTTTTTTTCGTGCTTCCAGGACACATTGGTGTCACTGTTGATGATGTCTACAAGGCTTGTGAGAGATTTGAGAGACTTGGTGTGGAATTTGTAAAGAAACCTACCGATGGTAATCTAGCTTTCTTAATTTGTTCAAACAAGTTTTGATGCCTTTCATGCACAAATAGTAAAATAGTGGGTTCATGATATTCATTCTTCTGAGAGTGGAAAAGTGGTGAACTAACCTAGAACTTCTTGCTTACCAAGAGAGAGCAGAGCATACAACCCAATACCTTAACGAGTAGCGCAGGAACTCAGAAACGCACAATTAGTTGAGGGGTATCTCACAGTTTTTAACTTGCAAAATGCAAATACCGTAGAAACTCACATAACGAAATGGTCAGACTTTGTTTTAATATCTTTAATCTTTCTTTCATGTTTCATGTCCATATTTGTTCCCAATGTGAATGTAATTTTTCGTTTTGAATGTTCTTTTTTGGATGACGATGGAAACCTCACAACCCTTTCGAGTGTGAGTAAACCAGCCTAGGTTACCCATAGTTGACCGACTCAAACCAAGGGGGCAAGGATTCGATCTTGGCAGGGGTTATCCCCCCGCCTATAAGAAACTGATCTGGACAACCTAGTCAAAGCCTGGCTTGTGTATGAAGTGATTTTAGTATTTTAGGATTTCAGACAATAGCAGTAAAGGTGGGGCATATTGGTCTTTAGAAACCGAGTCATTTTAGTTGGAGATACTATACTGTAGTGGCTAAGTTTTGTTGGTTGGGAGCCTGCCTTAAAAAGCTAAGAAGAAGCTATTGTCCCATTGTAATGGTCTTGCTTTTGCTGCTTTCTTGTTGTATTTCAGACAATTCTATATTCTTCGTTTCATGCAGTTTATATTAGAAGTGGTATTATAGTTCATTTCATAAACTACAGAAGCTCATTGCAGGAAAAATTAAGCACATAGCATTCATTAAAGACCCTGATGGCTATTGGATTGAGATCTTTGATACTAAAAAAATCAAGGACGCTACTTCTGGTGCTGCTTGATTTACCACTTTCTGCGTTTCAGGTAAATATCATTCATTAGTTTGTTGATTGGAGTTTCTCAGCTTCTTGTCTCAACACATTCCATTCTTCAAAACCCCCCGACCTATGATCCATTCACCCACCGTGGTTTCTAATGAGTTCCCTTACACTTTTGTGTACCTTTACTAGCTTTCTTGCTTTGTATCGTTAATCCCTCCCTCTATTGCAAACACCTCCCAACAAATGAGCATCGGGACCCTTCTGCTACTTTTGGTGCTTGGCCTAAACTTGCCCGGGCCCTTTTGCTTGATATTCCACTACTCATGTCCAAAATGGTCCCTCTTGACTATGCAAAATTTACTCAATTTAGTACATCAGAGGATTGAATTGATTAAATTTTGTATAGTTGGAGGACTATTTTGGATAAATTGATAATTGATGACCAAATTTGGGAGTTATGGTATATTCGAGGGACCATTCTGGGTTTTCCCCTTGTTCCTCATCTCCCCATTAGTTAAAATTTTGCCTGTAGAGATTCTCCCTGTGATGAAACTTGTCTGATATGGGCTAATAAGTTCTTGCAACAAAGGCCCGAATGCCCGATGCAATTAACAAGGAACTTGGAGATAATTTTGTAGGCTAACATGCCGTGTAAACATAGTACACTTTCACTTTACGAGTACACAAGACGTCGACTTTTTTCGTGGACTGAACACCGATATTCTTGTTGATGCAGGAGCGCCCGAGTTCAATACCAAGAGAGTTGTTCAGTACCCTTTTGTTGAAAGGGAGGTGAAATTTGAATGATTGTTAGTATTTTGCTGATTAATTTTATGCCTGTTAACATTTTCCCAGATGTAGGATTGTATCAGTGGGTTTTTTTGGCTACAATAAAACTATACCAATATGCTACTTATTGAGAAAAGTGGTCATGTGAACTTTGAACTGAAGATCAGATCCTTGTTTGATATATAGAATTGTCTGTTCCTTGGGATTCTTTCAAATCTGCGAAATGTAAAAGGCTTGCAAACACAAAGTAGGATTTCCTTAAAAACAACAAAAAATCATGTATGATTACTTCATTGTTTTTTTTTTTTTTTTGAATGCTACTGGTTCTAGTACAATGTAGTATCTGTTCATATACTTTCTCAACCTACTGAAACACAAAGAACCAATAACACCTCTACTAAGGCTTGAATTCACAACCTTCCAAATGGAAGTTCAACTCGGGTACCATTAGACCACATAGTCTTGGTATTTCATTGTTTGATTACATTGCTTCACAACTCATTAATCTATAAGAGCATCAATAGAGGTTTTTGCTTAATTTTTGTGTGGTGGCGGAAAGAGAGTCGGAGAGAGGGTTTTTTTTTGTGAGCCCATTGGACATTAAAAAAAAAAAAAAATACAGCTAGCTAGTGTACAAGACCCGAACCAATAGCGCCCAATAGGCGTGTGCAAGTGACTACTTTTTGTTGTTGTTGTTTTTTTTTTTCTTTTTTCTTTTTCTCTTTCCTTATACCATGGGCCAGGGTCTAAAATGACATTTAGATAACCATACCTAATGATCTTGTTTGGTAAAATAGTTAGCCTATCAGTCAATTTTGACTTGTTTGATCATTATTACCTATTTGACTTGGTTAAACAACCAATATGAGTGTTTGATTAATTAGCTCTTTATAACAGTTTATTGCTCTAAAATACTAAAATTCAAAGAACTGTTCAAAGTAACTTTTTCGATAAACTTTTAAAAAGTCATATTGTATGTAATCCGTTATTCGCTAACAGTTTATTTATCAAATATCTTTCTACAATCAGGTAATGCTATCAACTAGTCAAACCATCTGCTATCAATTAGTCAACTTTACTAACCTAATCAGCTAATAGCTATTTACCAAACACTCCCAATATATTAAATGTAAACATATAATATGTTAACTACATATACATAATAAAAGACACAACACAATTTTTGGACAATTGACTTTAAGTACATGCCAATTTACTATACCACCAATACACAACAAACAATTAATTTAATACATGTATATTACCTGAAATTCTTTCTATCAAGGATTGAACTCTCGATTATATGTAAAAAAAATTTACCAAACTCAATATAATTTGATGTATACTTAATATTTTTTGAGTGATTTACAGAGTATAAGTCTGATAATACATACATGTGACAGTGTCTGTATTGGAAGGATGAGATCTAGGAAACAAACAGTGTGTTGTTATTATTATTAATTATTAAATTTTTTGGGTTCAATTTATTAATTAATTCAAAAAATCTGAGTTGAAAGGATGATAAAATTTTATGCTTCTGTGTTTGGGCAAAGCCTGGGCTTCAGACTTTTTTTTATTATAATAATAATTGTTATTATTATCTTTTGTTTGGGGCTTTCTTCACAAGTTGACAACATTACAAATCATACACCAATGAGGCAAAGAGAGAGGACACACTGTTCCTCAATTTTTGCTTTATATATTCCACCAGATGTCAGTATGGGTCTACACCACCTTTTGACCTTTTACACTTCTAGAAAAGACATTCTCACTTTAAAATCTAAAATTAAAAAACTAAAAAGAAACTGTCAAAATTGATTGTGTATTAGATTGGTTAAAAAAAGAGTTAGGACTTACAACTACACCTTGGGGCTAAAACTGAGATAAAGTAAATTTTTATTTTATAAGCTCACAATTTATGATCTAGGTCAAAATCTTGATCATTTGTTGGTGTGTATTATTATCACTAATCTATTATATATATAGGTCCATCGTCAGGTGAGAATCCACATTAACCTGCGAACTGTAAATTTGTGAAGAATTGCACCACACCCGAATACAATTGCAGCGCTAGGTCTTCCAGGCATGTCGGGAGCCGTAGCAGTGCAATCATGTAGTAGTTGCGGTGTAATCCTTCATAAGTACGCAGTTTGCAGGTTGGGGTTGATTCTCACCTGATTAGAAATATATATATATATATTTCCACAACTACAGAACACATTGGGGACTTGGGAAGTAGGGTGGGTGGGGTGGGGTGGGGGTAAACTGAGCACTGACGACATCACATCTTTGATCATGTAATTTTGAACTATCTGATCTGGTTCTAGTTTTGTCTGGTTCCCAATGGGGATTCTCTGTGTCATAATTTTGTGATTGTGAGTATGACAAACCAACCTTATCGAGCCACGAAACAATTGGATGAATCTCAATCTCTTTTTAAAGGAAGTGTACTTTGTTTTATTTAAAGTTGAGGAGGATGGATATGAAATGGACATCATATCAGACAACCTCAGTTCTTAATTTCTCTCTTCTGCTTCATTTACTACACCCTGCAATTTTAGGTGTTTTTGCTTCATTTGCACTCATCATATGTGATATGTCCCTCCATCTCTTGACAAACATGTGCGATTTAATTTTGACGGTGTTTACTCAGTTTATCTTCTAACTCTCTCGAGTGAAGAAATGTCATATTTTAATTGTTGTTGCAATTTTGGTCCTTTTTTTAACAATTTGAAGGAATTTCCTTATGATGCAAAAAACATGCATGTATGTTTTCACAAACACTATATTATTTTATCATTAGCAAGACTGGTCAAAATATTTGAAATAATTAAGGTGATATTTTTTCATTTGTCCCGTGATAGTTCAAAACTAAAATGACTAAACACTAAAAATTGAAAAGTCAAAATCACACTTTTTTATTTGTTTATTTGGATTTTTCAATCTAACTATCAATTATATTATATGAACTTAATATATACGGAGTATATAAGAAGAGTTGGGATCGTTCAAACATATTACATCTTGTCTTGACATAAAATCAAAAGCATATATCACTTGACTAAAATTTGTAAGAAACTATCTTAGTGGGTATTGGCTCATTGAACACTAACTTAACCTAAAAGGTCCGATAGTGTGTCAGTGAAGACCAAGCAATCTTGAGTTTCATTAAGAGTAATTTTGCGGGAGTTATTTTAATTTCTCAATATAGAGTACAAATCAGAAATGTTGTGCACTGGGTATGTAAACCTAACTCAGAATCGAAAGAGCGTTAGCAAGAATCAAACTCATAATTTTTTTTGGCACAAGAATTATACTCTACGGACTCGGGCACCCTAGGGGAATTTAGTTGTTACCCTTGATTAATTCAATGGAAATTAAAATTTGTTAATCGCAATATGTTCTTGGGTTGATTGAAATATAGTAATTGAATTATGCATACTAGCAAATGTCAACCATGCCACTTTGCATACTAGCAAATGTCAACCATGCCACTTCATCACCTTGCAAGTTGCTATGTGATCCAAAGTTGATAATATAATATTTAGAAAATATATATATATATTTATCATTATATGAATTAGCTGTCGTTAATTAGATCATGGAATAAAAGCAATGGCAGGGATGTTCAATTATTTCACATTGACAAAAATAATTACTATAATATATTTCAGTCAATATTAAATAGTAAAATAAGAATTATTATAAGAATATCTGTAGTGGTCTTACTTGGTAATCTTTTTTTTTTTTTTTTTTTTTTTTTTTTTTTTTTTTTGGAAGTGTAAAAGTAAAATTGCTGACCCTGAAAGGGTGTGAAATTTATTACTGTCCGTACATGATATGATAGTCAGAGGCGTTGAAAATGGATTTAAACTTTAATGCTATGATGCAAATTTCAACTTTGAAAATTAGTGAAAGAGATGTTTGTCTTAATATAGTTTGGAGTTGTTCTTATTTTCTCTTTTAGGGCAACCACTTTGACATGGTTGGAGTTTAGTATGATTGATCTCGATTTATGTTAAACAAGATGATATATATATATATATATATATATATATATATATATATATATATATATATATAAAAGCTCAAATGCAGCCAGACTTTTAACGTGCGGTCAGTGCGGCCTCATCATTAATTAATAGCGTTAGAATATGCACAAACAATAAAATACACCAATGCATCACAAAAACGCACCATTAGGTACGTATCACCACACAAACGCTTCATTATGTACGTATAAATGCACCACACAGTGTTCGGGAACGCACCATTAGGTGTGGTGAGATATGGTGCATTTTTTTTATGTCTACGGTGCATTTTGTGGTGTATTGGTGCATTTTATTATTGTGCGTTTGCTAGTGCATTTTTGGATAACTAGTGGTGAAGCTGCACTGACCACACATTAAGGCCCAGGCGCATTGGAATTTGGCTATATATATATAGCCAAAGGTTCCTGTGCGGTTGAATGCTTCCCGTGTGGTTGTGCGGTTGAGTAATGTGCGTGAGTATTGTGTTTAATGTGCCTGAGATTTGTACTTAATGTGCGTGAATGTGTAATGTTAATGTGCGTGAGTTTTGTACTTAAGGTGTGCGAGTCTTGTGCCTAAGGTGCGTGAGTTGTGTGTTTAATGTGCGTGAGTGTGTTCTTCATCCACGTATTGCTGTGAAAATTATGTGCATCCACTGCTGCATTTTCTTCTTGTTTTTGTTTCGAAGTGGTGGAGGAATGAATTTTGTCTTGTTTTGCTTTGCATACTGATGGGCTGCTAATGAGAGCTTCAAAGATTGTGAAAAAGAAGGAGACTGTGAAAATTTTCTGTTCTGCTTCTTTCTGAGCTTGTAATTCTGAACTACTCACGTACATTAAGCACAATACTCAGGCACATTAAGTACAAATCTCATGCACATTAAACACAAGACTCACGCACATTAAGTATAAAACTCACACACATTAATCAATCGCACAATCGCACAGGAAGCCACAATATGTTGTGGAGTTTACGCAATAATTAAAAAATATTCTAATCTCAGCATACCCAAAAGTCATCTATCCTTCCAGTAAAATTCACAATTCGACGCCAAAATGCATAATATTAAATCACAATCGTACGTTAGAGTACCATATATATTTTCCTTATTCTATGTTTTCACGAAGCAAAATCCCAAAATCTACATTATTTGGAGAGCTAAAATACAAAAGGA